CAAGTGGAGCGTCTGCAAGGGAGCCGTCGTCGGGGGAAACAAGGAGGAGTGAGGAGCGGCGCGCTGCCGTCCCTCGACACAGGGAAGACAGGGAGGAGCAGGCGAGGGTGGGAGGGGAGGGAGAACCCTGGGAAGACCAGCAACAAGGTCCCGTTTGTGCATGGCCCGAAGGCGCTGCACAGACGGGTGACCAAGGCGGTGGTGCCAGAGGACAGTCTCATGCGCCAGAGAGCGACACGAGCAGGGGGCGGACAGCTGACCTGACGCAGACGCAGACGCAGACGCAGCTACCTGAGGGGACTCAGTGGTCAGTGTGTACAGGTCCGACCCCGGCTGTCGAGTGAAGGTAGCCAGGTGGCGACCCGTCCGAGCACACGTGCAGTGTGTCACGCGCTCGTAGGCAGGGGTGAACTGGTGAACACCCCCGTCCTGGAGCGCACGACCTGCCACCAAGTTCGTAGAGAACGAGGGGAGGTAGAGACCTGACAGTGTGCCTGACGGGACCGCAGGACAAGGAAGGACAGTGGAGGAGGTCGCAATGACCGGACCCCCAGAGGGGTCAGCGAGGGAGACAGCAACTGGCCGAGCGAGTGGCTCAAGGACAGTGCGGTCACGAAAGAAATAGCGAGAAGCACCTGAGTCCAGTGTGAAGGTGTGCAGTGCTGCAGTCGACTCAGTACCAGGGGGCACAGACTCACGAGCACCTAGAGCAGCAGCCTCACCAGGACCTGGGGCAGCAGACTCACTAGCACCTAGAGCGGCAGTCGGACTGGTCAGAATGCCTGGGTCGGGCGGAACACGCAAGTACTGAGCACCCTCTCCACTAGTAAACATCGCATACATGGCAGTGAGAATAGCATCAAAGTCTAGAGCCCAGATATCAACTCCCTTCCTCTCCAGATCAGCCCAGCGGGGCAGCTCAGTGGCATCAGGAAACTGGACGCGCCAAGCGTCGGTAAGGCGCGAGAAACAGCGCTGCGTGGGGTGCGGCCTCCCACACGTCTGGCCAGTGCGGTCACCAGTGCGGATGACGTACGTGCAGGTAAAGCCACCCGCCCCCCCCCGCTGCGAATACCACTCACGGGCCTCCTGGAGCGACGGGGCGTGCTGCTGGCTCTGGCCACCGCCAGCGCCTCCACGACCACCACCGCCGCCGCCACCGCCTCCGCCCCGGCCACCTCCACCCCTGCCGCCGCCACGACCACCTCCGCCTCCGCTGCCGCCTCCGCCCCTGCCACCGCTCCCGCCGCTGCTGTCACCACCCCCACTGCCGCCACTAGCCTCTCCAGCCCCACCTCCACTCCCACCGCCTCCACCCCCGCCTCCCCCGCCGCCACCTCCACCCTTGCCCCCCTTGCTCCTGCGGCGCCCGCTCGGAGCAGACGCGGTCCCGACCTTCTCAGCACCAAGGAGGTCGACAGCAGCAGCAGAGGCTACAGAGGGGAGAAGGGGGGAAGGGGAACACCCCTCAAAGAACGGGGTGCGGGGGTCGCCACGAGAGGTGCCTACAGCGACGATGCTCGCCTCAGCTGCAAGCAGTTCCTTCTCGAGGAGGGCAATGGTGAGCTCAGTGGGGGAGCGAGCGAGGAAGTGGTCCCTGACTGCGCGCAGAGAGTCAGGGAGGCGGGTGACGATGTGGTAGAGAGTGATCCAGAGCGGGGGGGGATTGCTAGCAAGGAACTCGTCAGGCATAGCAGCGCGAAAGCGGGCCTCACTAGTCTTGAGGTGGGTGATGAGGTCAGCAACTGTGTGAAAGGAGGCCAGGTCGGGGAACAGGTAGGGGAGGGTGAGGCGGCCTAGTGTGGCAGAAGCAGGTGAGGAGTAACGAGCAACAACAGCAGTGTACAGTTCCTTAGCAGTCTTGTGCTGGCCAAAGTGCTCGCGCTCATCTATCGGCAGGGAGTTGCGAATAGCGAAGCGAGCGTGGGCGTCACGAGTCTGCCACTGTGAGCGCTGAGTGCTGTCTGCAGTGGTAGGAGGGGCAGTAGCGTGACCGAGGGCATGATCGTACAGCGAAATATCCTCCTTGGCAGTGAGCTGTAGGAAGAGGTGCAGGTCATCTAGCCAGGTGTCAAACTTCACTGGGCGGCCCTCAGCATCGAAAGCAAGTACGGGAGGACTAGCCATAGTGGCAGCAGTAGTAGCAGTAGCAGCAGTAGCAACAGTTGTAGTAGCAGTAGGAGCAGTAGTAGGAGCAGCAGTATCGACGGGGCTGCTCAGTACGGGCGGCGCGGCTCGGTCGGGCGGCGCGGCTCGGTTCAGGTAGGGCGGCGCGGCTCGGGTAGGGCGGCGCGGCTCGGTTCGGGCTGCGCGGCTGCGCGGAGCCGCTAAGCGGGGCGGTACGGGGCCGCGGGGGCCTCTAAGCGGGGCTCGACGGGGCCGCGGGGCCGCTAAGCGGGGCGCGATGGGGTCGCGGGGCCGTGAGGTGGGGCGCGACGGGGCCGCGGGGCCTGTAAGCAGGACGCGACGGGGCCGCGGGGCCGCTAAGCGGGGCGCAACGGGGTCGCGGGGCCGTGAGGTGGGGCGCGACGGGGCCGCGGGGCCTCTAAGCGGGACGCGACGGGGCCGCGGGGCCTCTAGGCGGGGCGCGACGGGGCCGCGAGGCCGTTAGGTGGGGCGCGACGGGGCCGCGGGGCCTCTAAGCAGAGCGCGACGGGGCCGCGGGGCCTTTAGGCGGAGCGCGACGGGGCCGCGGGGCCTCTAAGCGGGGCGCGATCGACGGGGCCAGCGGGGCCGGAAAAAAAAGGAGAAGCGCGCGAGGGCGCTAAGGGGGAGGCGCTAAAACGCGCTCCGATAGTAGGGCGCACGAGGGCGCTAGTAGGTAGTAGGTAGTGGTGGGCCCGAAGAGAACTTAGGTCCTAGCGAAGGACCTGCTCTGAAACCATGTCAGAAGAACTGAGCAGGAATGATTGAACTAACAGAGAAATCAGTACAAAATAGCAAACCCTAGAATTGTGTACCCCATATAGGCTAACCCACTGTAGCCTAACAAACACAACATATATAATGTTCGACAGATCATCTAGTCTTACACGCTACCAGCCTTGTCGCAGCAGAACGAGGTAACCGAGCGACGCATCGGCCTGGTCATGGAGGTTGCCCAGACCTCTATGTGCCATAGCGGTGCCTCCCAATACTTGTGGCTTCAGGCAGTCCGCTACGCCGCACACTAGCTTGTCCTGTGGCCTAGTGACGCACGGCCACGGGTAACGCCGGTCTCCCTTTGGACAAGTTCTCCGGACATAGTAGCTGGTTTCAACGTCTCGGGTCCTCTGGCTCACGTTCGCGCCCCTAGCGCGAACAAGTTGTCTCCGTGCATCCGTGCCTGCATCTTTCTTTCGTGTCTGGGGGTGTGGGAGGTGCAGTTGCAGAGAGTGAGAGTACTGGGGCTGCAGGAGCTGGTGGTGTCAACTCTGAGGGTGCAGGGGGTGTGGGCGTAGGGGTCACTCCCGTGGAGGACACGGCAGCCTCGAGTCGGCGGCCTTGCCCGGCGTCAGCCCCTGGCTTCCCGTCCGTCCTGCAGTTTCCTCCTCATTCTTCTCTACGGCCGGTTGCTGCGGTCACCTGGTTGCAGCGGTCTTGGACAGTCAACAGTCAGGACTCAGGAAGGTTGAGTTCCGACTGTTAATTATTGCGTGCTCTATACGAGTATAGCGTGATAATAACCAGTGCGCAATCTCTGAATAGTAGTGCGTTATACCAATGCATTTTGAATGCCGGTATAACCTTTTGGTAAGCATACCTTTGTTCCACAATCTACTTTCTCCATCAGTCCTTTTAGAAGTATCATCCGCTTATAGACTCATCTTCTTAGATGTTATATTTTAAGCGCACCTACGCCTATATCCAGGGCGATTGATTCCTTGATGCAACCACACCGATCACACACGGGTGATTGGGTTGGGACCCCCACTTGTTTTGTCGTGCTTCTGTTTGCTTCTGGAATCTGGAGAATTCTCTTCTTGGTGCTGGTACGTGTACGTCAAGGTGGTTGACCACGTGGCAGTGGACACTGATGGCTCCAATGGCTGCTGATATTCGGGCAGGAAAGTTTGTTGCCTGAAGGCCATTTCACGAATCAACAGTTCAATGGATGAGAATGCATCTGCGAGAAGCTACAGTACGACTCCGTATGGTTACGCCGAAACTTTACTTGTCCAAAACAACGCTCCACCGACCATAGTTGGAAGGATGGGCTACCGCTGCGGTCGCTTGGAAAAGTCCTCCATTTTGTAATGCGCTCGTCCAATCCCGTTATGAACATCAGATGATGGCTTTGCGCCTAGTCCACACTGGGCTGGGAACTCGCAGATGGACTCCCTCATTTTTTTGGGGGCACATCGGGCAGCATGCCAAACAAATAACTGGCAAGCCTCATCACTGCGCGCTTATCATCTAGGGTTGTTGTCACACGTCAGATCAGAATGTATTGCATAGGGTGCTTGCGATATGATAGTCAGCTATGCTGTGCGCAGATAGGTTGTCAGCTCAGCTTCGCTCCACAAAAAGGGGGGGTTGCGGTTGCGGCGGAGAAAATGCCCGCCAGGTGTGGTGTTGGCGTGGCTGTGTTGAATATTCTCGCGGAGCAGCGATTTGACTGTCCGCCGTCGAGGCAGTCGACTTGGGTTTTGGTGTTGGGCTGAGCAGACCACCTGATGGACGGCGAAACCCTATACAGAAGCAGCCCTCCCACCGACCCCACTAATCTTAGCCCTATCATCCCCACCACGTATCACAGCCCCATTCGTCGTCTATCTCCGACGTATCAGCTCCTGGCCTTCTGCTTATCCCAGCTGAGCTCAGCTTTCCTTTCTTATTTCCTCCTTATCACATCTCCCCATCCGTCGTAGTCCTGGCTCCTGTTCCCAGCAGTGCGGGAGGCTGTTTAATAGTATTCACTACAATCACTGACCCTACAAATGGACCGGCAGAGCGCGTCCGCCGTTGACATCGGCGCACAGACTCGTTCGGCGCAACCCGAATCGTTTCAGAGGACAGCTATGGCTTGTACCTCGCGCGGCTTCAGTGAAGACGTCTTTTCGTTGTCATTAGTACCTAAACGAGGGAAATTACTAGCCCCCTCGGAGGAGGAACGGGCGCGCCGCGCGGTGTCCGTACACGAGGCGAAGCGGAGCATTGACGGCCCTCCCGCCGCGCATTGTTTCTCCAGGTGCTGCTTTCCCGTCCTGACCGCTGATACACGACCACCGCTATCTCCGCTGTCATACCACTCTCTTAAGCAGTCACGTAGGCTAGATAATCTGATTGAGGGAGCACCGTGCGCTGCGATCTTCCCGCTGTAGACCATTACCACAAGAGAAGGTTGGAGTCTACCTGGTTTTTCTCGTTGGATAGTATTATTTTTCTCCCCTTCGTTTTTCCTCATCAACTCGGCGTCTACCCTGCGGCGACCCCCCTCTCCACCTCCCCCCCTCTCCCCCCCTGTCGTCCGTGTGTCACAGCCGTCATGTCGACCACGGGCAACGCGACTACGGCTGGAAACCCGGCGACAGCCACTGGACGGGGGGTCTACGTGAAGGCCTGGCGGAAGCACGGCGCGGTCCGTGCTTGGAGGTGCGTGCACGGCGGATATACGGGCCCGCGCCTGTCTGCGTTGGCGGAGGGGAAAGCCCAGGTTGTTTTCGTCTGAGTTATGCCATCCCTTGAGTTTTTTTTATATATATATCGCGACCGAGCGCGTTACCGTACTGAGATCTGCGCCGTGACTCGCGCGTGCATGCGGAGAGAGGAGCGGCAGGCCGAGGACGGGTGAGGTCCCTGCATGGAACGACGAGAGCACGGTCGTTGTTCCACCATGGCGGTCCCAATGGTCAGCGTGTCATGAGGGCTCGGCCGCTCTGTCGCACCGCATGGCGCGACTGCCATGCGCGCATGTCCTTTCATTCGGACGAGGGGGAACCTCGTCGCTCGTGCTGCGGCAAGCGCCGGCTCTCCGCTTCTTCGTTTCTCCGTCTTCTCCATTTCTCCGTTCGTCGCGCGCGTGTGTGTGGGTCTCTGCGTGCTCACCGCCCTCTTGTGCGCAATGCCTCTCTTCACGCCCTGGCAGGCCACGTGTCCGCTCACTCCCCCGCGCCGCGCCAACGATGCATTCTGCGATCCGCCCGCAGCAACGGGCCGAACAGCGGCGGCGCAACGAGGGCAGCGCGCGCAGTGCGGCAAGTGCGACGGTGACAGCGACGGCTGGCGGAGTCGCAGCGCAGAGTACGTCTCATGTCTTTGGCTTTCGTCTGCTCACACCCGCTGCCTCGCGTACCGATCGTTTAGGGCAAACCGAAACCGGAGTTTGTGAATCGTGATGGGTTTCCCATGGGGCACATCGACGCCCGATTGCTTGCCGCCCGGCTTTCGCCCCCGCCTCCCACGGCGTGGCGCGGGATTTGTGCGATTGGGAACCATGGGTCAAGGAAGTTTCAGGAATGTCTCAACATTGATGATATTCGTACTACCACTCACCCGCCGTGATTTCTAACGATTTTGTGCGTATCTGTGTGTGCTGGTGTGTGTGGCGTCAGATGCGGAGCGGCGAGCGCTGCTGCGGACGAGGCAGCTACAGCGGTGTGGAGTTTGAATTGTCAGCGGCACAGACGTGGCTGCACCACCGCGCGGCGCAAGGTACAAAGAAAAGCTTTTCCTTATTGATTTGTTTATTCATTTTGGCGGAGGCTTTCGGACAGCGGAGAGCACGGTACTGTGGTGGCGACGCGGGGGATGGCCGCGTCGGAGTTGGCGCGTCTGACCGCCCACGACTTCCGTGCCTGCCGCTTTCGTCGCGTCTTTCCATGCCTCGTACGGCCCGTGTGCTGACCCCGTTCCCGGCTTCCCCCTCCGTCCCCCGCAATGTGTTTATCCGCGCTATAGATGGATCCGACGAGCTCTTCCATGCAGCGGATCCGGGAGTGCGATGGGGCAGGATGCGCGTCAAGAGACACAGGAGGCGCAAGAATGCGAGGAGGTCGGGCACGAGGAGGAGGCGATGGCGGCGGCGACTGCTGCGTATCGCGGGCGCGGGGGAGGCTGCGCGCCGCCGCGCAATCAGCAAAGGCGGAGGGCAAGGATCCGCGCCAAGCATGGCGTGGGCGGGCGCGCGGTGGGGCGGGGGCCTGGCTCATCAGCCCGCTGAGGTGGCCCTCTCTACTCAACCTGCCTCTGCTGCTGCTGCGGCTGCTGCTGCTGGGTTGCGTCTTGGCGTCGCCCGTCGTGACATCCCTTGGTATGCCTTCCCCTTTCCTTCGTCTGTCTCACGCCACTGCCATGCCTCTCCCCCTCCGTCTTTTGCTTGTGCTTCTTACGAATCTGCATCGTCCCTCTCTTTGCAGCCTTCACCTGCTGTGTGCTGGAGTTTGGCACTCGCATCACCCAATCCGCGCACCCCACTCCGCATGCCCCTTACGCCCTCCTCCCTTCATCCCTGCCGTCCCCAGGCGGGCCCTCCCCCGTGCGCATCAACTGCGGAGGGTCAGAGCACATCACGAGCAGCGACGGGCGCGTGTGGGAACCGGACGCATTCTTCACAGGGGGGGAGGCAGCGGCGGTGCTGAACGCGTCGCAGCTGGGCTTCCCCAAGGAGGTGGCGGCACAGCGCATCTTCCACACGGGCGACGTCAGCTGCTACGACATCCCCATTCCCCCCGGCCGCTTCATCGTGCGCCTCGCCTTCGCGTACAACAGTGACACGCCGCCTGCCAAGACGTTTGAGACTGTCTCGTCCGTGACAGTGCAGGGGGGGCGCACCAGCAGTGCGCAGGATTTCAGCGTCTCTGCTACGTCTGCGCTCACAGGCGCCGCCGCACCTCGCGACGGCAGTCTAATGGCAAGCGCAGTTGGAGCGGCGCATCTCGCTGCGCCTGCTGCCGCCCCCGCCGCGTCTGCAGCTGTGGTGAGTCGGCTGCCGGATGACACGCCCTTCTCGACCGCGTCGGGCAAGGGCCCTCTGGGAGGATTTGACAGCCAAGGAATGGGGGATCTGCCACCCAGTGACACTGAGCTGGGGGGGGGTCTGCAAGAGCATGTGCAGGCACGGTGGCCGCGGTTTGCGGTGCTGGTGGAGGGCGTGCAGATGGAGACGGTGAGCATGGGCGGGCACGTGGGCGCGGTGTACGAGGCGGAGTACATCGTGGACAGCGCGGACGCCTCGCTCACGCTCTGCTTCCTGCCCGTGTGGGGCCACGCCCTCGTCAACTCCATCGAGATCCTCCCCGTGCCGCCCCCCTTCTACCTCCTCCCGCAAGTCGTCCCCCCCAACGCCTTCCTCGCCGTGCGCGCGCGCATCGACTGCGGCCGTGCCGCCACGAACGACTCTGCGGTGGCTGGGTCTAATGGAACGGCAGAGGGCAGCACCAACCGGCTGGCGAGCAACTATGGTGCGCTGCCGGCAACCACAGGTACCAACTCCACGTGGAGCTTTGACACGCTGGTGGCCACATCAGGGTTCGGTCCCTCGGGCCAAGGCACCACCATGCAGGATGCTCTCGGGCGCCGCTGGTCCAGCGACCTCAACCAGATAGTGCAGACGCAGCAGGTGGGGGTTCCAGCACCCAGTGGGGAGGCTGGGCAGGGTGCAATGGGCAGGGGACAGCAGGAGCAGGTGCAAGCGCAGTGGCGTGTGAAGCCGCCCAAGTCGGTGCAGACGTTCGTGCCGGTGAGCGGGGCGGGTGAGGCGCCGCTGTTCCTGGCGCAACCGCTGCTGCAGACGGCACGAGAGGCGGTGCTGGCGAGTGGGCTGCACTACTCGTTTTCGATCCGCGTGCCGGCGCGGCTGAACCGGTGGATGGTGCTGCTGCACTTTGTGGCGGTGCAGCCGGGGTCGCGCGTGGGCGAGCGCGTGTTTGACATCCACATGAACGGCGTGACTGTGAGCGCCTTTGACATCCTGCGTGAAACCCACGGGCAGCAGAACCGCCTGGTGACGCTGCCCGTGGTGGTGGGGTTCAGCCGGCCCGCCATTGGGTCGGCGCCCACGCTGGAGGTGCAGCTGGTGGCGTGCAACGGCAGCAAGCTCAGCCCCCTCATCACCAGCATCGAGGTCATTGAAGTCGTGCGCGCCAACGTCCCCCGCGAAAACGTCGTCTCCGGTAAGCTGCGTCTTCCTCACCTCTTTATCCTCTATAAACTGTTCCTTGTCTCACTCATCAGTGTCTTGTAACATCGTGTGTGCAGAGCTGAAAGCCCAACAGAGTGGCGATCCCAAGTCAGCCTTTCCATCTGCCTCCTCCCACAGCCGTAGTTATGCGGCGGTGGTTGCGGGGGCGATAGGAGGGGCTGGGGCGCTGGTACTGCTTGTTATGCTCGTGCCCCTCGTGCTGCTGTGGCGACGCCAGCATCGCCGCCGCCGTGCCGCCATGCGCACCCACCTGCTAGGGCTCAATGCCGTTGACTCTGCAGCAGCACCACAAACAGACGATGTTGAAGGAATTAGTCATAACGAGGAGCTAGGGCTTGTTGAGGTTATAGAAGAGACAAGGTGAAACCATTTGCCTCTTGTCTTCAGTGTTGTGTATAGTCAATGCGTATAGGATGTGTGATTAAGGCAGTACCGCATTCTCACTGCAAGGAAATTTCCATTTCCTTACGCCGCATCCCTGCTTAGCGCGTACATCACTATAACACACTCGGCACCGTTACCACTCGCGACACTCGCCTCGACTATTTCCCGCCACCCCGCCTGTCGTTATCAGTGTAAATCATCCTGATGCCCTAATGAACAGGGTGATTTTTGGTAGTAACACTGATGCGGTAGGGTAATTTTTTTGGGACCTTCATTTACCCTGACGTGTGCCAGGGTTTACGATTAAAGCGACGGTGCACTTTGGGGGGGGTGGACCCAAAGGTTTATCACTTGCCTTGGTTGGTACCCTGTTTGTGCTTTAGAGTCCGACGAGAAACAAAGTTCAGTGTTGGCGGACTTGCGCGGGGCATCTCTTCCCCGTCGTCAGCTGCGACGCCCCTGCTGGGATTTGGGAACTTGATTCACGCAAAGCAGTTTGTGAACCAAAACGAGCTGACCATTGGCACAGCAGAGACAGTCCCTCACATACGAGGTTATCACTTGGCCAAAAGCACGCTAACCAAAACAGCACGAAGAGCACGGTTTAGCTAGTCTAACCGTCTCGCAGCCACACCCACCCGTCGCCTTCATTTCGCTCGCCCATCGTGCACTTTGTAATTAGGTTCTTAGAAGAATGCGTGGTTTGCCAAAGAATGTGACTCCCTGACGCGGCGGGAACTTCGCGAATTCCCTAGACTTCAATCTCGTTTCCAGATTTTGCCATACGCCCTCGAATCCCGGTCGTGCATCCTCGAGCAATACTCCTCATGGATTAGGCGCATTAGGTTCGTCTACCCCCCACAGTAGTAGCATTAGGCCGGAAATAGGGAGTTAAGTCTTAGGCTCTAGTAACAGCGGCAATGTAGAGAAAGTACCGTTAGATTGGTACCTGCGACTGACGCTGCTGTCGCACGCGCCACTGGAAATCGTGAGGGTTCGCGAGAGAAACATGCGACAACCGATATTGAACGATCTTTGGTCGACGTTGCAGCGTCGCACGCGCAGTGACTCGCCTCTCCCCCCGGCGTCGGGTGCGCCCTTCCCCCTGGCGTCGCGTGCGCCCTTCCCCCAGCGTCGCGTGCGCCCTTCCCCCCGGCGTCGCGTGCGCCCTTCCCCCCGGCGTCGCGTGCGCCCTTCCCCCCGGCGTCGCGTGCGCCCTACCCCCCGGTGTCGCGTGCGCCCTTCCGTACTCAATCCCCGCCCTTCCCCCTCACTGACCTCCCCGCCCTTTCTCCTCGTCTCCATGCCCTTTCCCCTCCGTGTCCCCCTTCCCCACCCCTCAGGTGTGTGAGGACCGTGTGCCGGTAGACTGCATGGTGCTGCGCAAGCTGGCGCAGGCCATGCGCGAGTGGCCGCGCCTGCGGGATAGTGAGGTGGAGGGGGGGAGAAGTGGCGGGGGGTGGGGACGGGTGAGGAGGGGTAGTGGGGGAAGGGGGAAATGGAGAGGAGGAGAAGTGGGAGGAGGGGTAACGGGGTAAGGTGAGGTCTACGAAACAAAAAGTGAGGTTTTTCTCCTCTGCTTCTGTTACCCCTCTCCCCCACTCCACTCCCCCACCCCTCTCCCATACACCTCCTGCTCCCTCACCTCTCTCCCCCACCTTCCCCTCCACCCCTCTCCCCCACCCTTCTCTCCCTGCCCCTCTCCCCCCCTTCTCTCCCTACCCCTCTCCCCCCCTTCTCTCCCTACCCCTCTCCCCCCCTTCTCTCCCTACCCCTCTCCCCCCCTTCTCTCCCTACCCCTCTCCCCCTTCGCCCTGCCCCTGCCAGAATGCAGTGAGATCAGGAGGCCAGCGCACACTTCGCCCCCCCACACCCCTCCTTTCTGCCTCTCCCTCAACCCTCTCTCATCCCCCCACCACCCGCCCCACCACTCTCCCGCTGCACCATGCCTTTGCCAGGAAGAGCCAGCCCCCGAGGAGGCAGAGGGATCAGCTAGAGGCCAGCACAAGTCGCAATACGTGCAAATTACCGACGTGGGGCTGTAGGGCACTGCTGTTGTCACTCTATTTACCCCATGATTGCATGCCCCCTGTCCTTTCCCCTCACCCCGCCCTGTCCTATCCCCTCACCCCGCCCTGTCCTTTCCCCTCACCCCGCCCTGTCCTATCCCCTCACCCCGCCCTGTCCTTTCCCCTCACCCCGCCCTGTCCTATCCCCTCACCCCTTACCATCCCAGGCGAGCACGACAAAGACCCAGACGAGCTGCATGGACTGCAACCTTCCCTTGCTCCTGCTACCGTATCAGCATCTCAAAGGCCTACGTGTGGCACACTACGACAAGGGACCGCTTGCAGATTCAGAACGGAAACACCCACGAGTAGAGCAAAGGCTCGAGTTTGTATTGTGTAGGGAAGGGATACTGCATGCTTTTGTCATGTGTATTCTCAAAATAATGTACATGGATATTAAACGTTTACATCTTATGGCCTGACCCGGAGACTGTTCTTCTGTAAAAGGGTTACACACAAAACTACCAAATGCTAACATGACAGCAGCGTGAACAGCAACTTGAGTACATTATCAATATGTTGTTATACGGTATGCCATTGAATGTCACAATGAGGGCACACAGTAGCCTCAAATGAAAGCAAATCGTACTTTCTTGCTCAATGCTGCAAAGCATAGCTCACAATGAGAGGGAAGGTGGGAAGGACTGGGCAGGGTAATTAGAAACTGGGAAGGGTGTTAGAATGAGAAGAGTATGTGTGATTAGGTGGAGGTTGGGGTACAAGACTAGAGTGTCGAGTGAGTTTCTGTACCCCTTAAGGCTAGCCCCAATATAGCCTAGATACTAACATGCATATGTTTTGACACACCCCCATAGGCGAAATGGGGGATAGCCAGAGCAAGCAATGGTCACAAGACCAGTCAAGAGAAGAAACAAAACACGGCTCAGGGTGGATCACAACGTCACCACACACACTGAGCACAAACAAACGGCCACAAGGCCAGTCCACATGTAGAGGTATATAAGCAGCAAGAACAGCACAGTGATCTCTACCTAGCAATGCAAACATGCACGTATATATATATAGATATATAGATCACAGTACAAGCAAGGCCTACAGCAAGTGAGGAAATGTGGGCACAAGCCCTAGCAAAGTGCAGAAACGCTGATGATCACCAGACGGAAGCGCCTTAGTGAATATATCAGCAGTGTTGGCCCGAGTGGCCACGTGACGCAGACGAAGCTGACCACGCTGCTGCAGCTCTCGAGCCAGGAAGTAACGCAGAGCGATGTGCTTTGTTCTGTGCTCCAGTCAGTGCTCCTCACACAAGGCAATGGCGGCCTTGTTGTCGACGTACAGCACTGGAGGAGAACGAGGCTGCTCTCCCAAGTCAGTCAGCAGGTAGGTGAGCCAGCGCAACTCCTGTGCAGCCATGGCTGTGGCGTAGATCTCAGCCTCACAACTGGAGCTGAGAACTGAAGACGAGCGTGTAGAACGCCACGAAACTGAACCAGAGCCAAGGCTGAAGGTGTAACCCTGTGACGACCGCTGAGTAGCCTGGTCGTCAACCCAAGAAGCGTCTGAGTGCCCAGTGAGAACAACTGGGCTCGTCCCTCCAAGCACTAGCCCCATGCCTGATGTGCTGCACAAGTAGCGCAGTACCCTCTTAGCAGCAGCCATGTGCTCAGGTCGGTGCCGACCAGGAGCCACGTAGCGAGCCAGAAGACCAAGAGGGTACGCGAGGTCAGGACGAGTGCAAGTCATCAGGTACATGAGGCAGCCAACTAGCTCTGGGTAAGGACCACTCGGCTCTACGGACTCGTCCGAAGGTGGAGCTGAGAGCGAATGACCTGTAGCCAGAGGAGTGGCCTGTGCTGAGGACCAGGTGAAGCCGAAGCGCTGAAGGACCTGCTGCACCATGTGTGACTGAGTCAGGGTGATGGTGCGGCGTGCTCTGTCCCGGGTGATCTGCAAGCCAAGGTAGCTGCGCAGCTCACCCAAGTCTGTGCACGTGTGTCTCTTCTGCAGCTCCGACTTCACGTGGGCGAGAGCCTCAGTGTCCGCAGTGGCAAACACCAAGTCGTCGACGTACACGAGGATGTAGAACGGCGGCAGTGAAGTGTCGGTGCGCAGAAACAGCGACGGGTCAGCTGTGGAGGGAGCAAACCCAAGTGCCGCAAGTGTAGTCCTCAGTGTGTCGTGCCACTCACGAGGCGCCTGGCGGAGACCGTAGACTGGCCGCCGGAGGCTCCACTGGGTACCAGGAGGGAACGACCCAGTGAAGCCCAGGGGGCGGCGCAGCCAGATCTCCTCGTGCAGGCTGCCCTGCAAGAAAGCTGTGCTGAAGTCAAGAGAGTGAAGCTCGTAGTCACGCTGAGCGGCAACGTGCAGCAGCACCCGAAGAGTGGTCATCTTCGGGGTGGGGGAGAAGGTCTGGAAGAAGTCTACTCCCTCTCGCTGACTGAAGCCTCGAGCAACGTAACGAGCCTTGAAGACAGGCGGAGAACCTGGCGGCCGCTTCACCCTGAAAATCCACATGCCACTGACGATGTTCGCCCCAGGAGGGGGAACCTCGTCGACGTAAGTGCCAGTGGACTTCCAGGATGCCATCTCTGCGTCCATGGCTGTCTGCCACTGAGAGGAGTACTCACCCGCGATCGCCTCAGCGTAAGAGCGCGGGGTCGGGATGTCTGGTGCATCCGGGTCTCCCTCAGGTGCAATCAGCATGGACACGAGATGAGGTACAGCAGCGGCAAAGCACTCAAACTCCTCCTGCCTGTCCTCAAGGACGTCCGTGCCAAGAGCACACTCACCCCCGACGGACGGAGGACAGACAGACTCAGACTCAGCAACTAGACTCGCGGCGTAGTCTAGACGACAGTGAGCAGCAAAGTCGACAAGCTCAGCAACTAAGGCAGACGCAGCAGCGGACTCAAAGGAAGGGTCAGTGACAACAGTGGCCAGGAGACGCGTGACAGTAGGGTGAGCAGCACGTACACGGTCAGACTCAGGGTCTGGAACGTCAGGCAGAGAAGACGCAGGGGGGGACGGCAGTGGAACACGCAGTGGAGCAGTGGACGGACGAAGTGTCATCTGGTGCGTGCCAGGGACAGGAGGAGGACGCGGACGTGGGACACGAGGACTAGTGCGAGCAGTGCGAACGGGCGACGCAGGACGAGACGCAGGCTCACGACGCTCAGCAAGACCTCCTGTCTGCTCAGTGTAAGGAGAAGGGGCAGGCAGTGGTGAGCCAGGCTGTAACGGAAGACCAGTAGACGACGGGAGGGTAAGAACCTGACGAAGAGCAGCGTCAGGCGGTGGCAGAGACGATGGAGACGGCGGAGCAAAGAACAGTCGTGGCTGCGCAGTGCCCCCAGCACCAGCAGCTCCACCACCTCCAGCAGCTCCAGCACCTCCAGGACCAGCGTCACTAGCAGGAGCACCCCCAGAGCCGGCACCTGTAGTCCCAGGGTCTCCTGTCGAAGTGTCCCCAGCAGCAACACCCCCAGACTCAGCACCAGCTCTAGCAGCACCGTCAGCACCTGCACCTCCAGCTCCAGCAGCACTCGCTCCTCCAGTAGCTCCAGCACCTCCAGCGCCAACCCCAGGGTCGGCAGCCACACCAGCACCAGGAGCTCCAGCGCCCTCAGCTCCAGTGTCAACAGTACTCCCAGCTCCCACAGTACCACTGTGGCGGCGGCAGTACCGAGAGTACCACTCACGCAGCTCCAAGGAAGAAAGAGTGCCTCTAGGCGCAGCACCCCCAGGCTCAGTAACCCCAGGCACAGCACCCCCAGGCTCAGTACCCCCAGTGTCAGCACCCCCAGGCGCAGCACCCCCAGTGTCAGCACCCTCAGGCCCAGCACCCCCAGCGGCAGCACCCCCAGGCTCAGCACCCCCAGTCTCCACACCCCCAGGCTCAGCACCCCCAGTCTCGGTACCACCAGACCCAGCACCACCAGGCTCGGCACGCTCAGGCTCAGTACCTCGCGCAGGACCAGAGTCGACAGCTACCTCGACAGGCTCGACCGGGTCTACCTGGGAAACACCTGAGGTTGCAGGACCCTGGGGAGGCAGGGGGTCTACCACAGCAGCACCTGGAGTGAGGAAGAGCGGCGGAGGGGGGAGCGGGGCAGTGCGGTAGGGGAAGAGACGGTAGAAGGGGACCGACTCGTCAAACGTGACGTCCTGAGAAGGGAAGACACGGCGCGAGGCAGGGTGGTAAAACTGCCAGCCAGACGCGTCAGGGACAAAGCCAAGGAAGACACAGGGGAGGGTACGGGAGGAGAGCTTGTCCGCGGACGCATCGCGGACAAAGGCACGAGATCCCCAGACTCGAAAC